CACTGAATCCCCCAAGTGGCTTCATTGAGTCTGTGTCTTTAATGGTTGGCTTGAATCCCATTTCTAATCTCTCTTTTTCACCCCCTTCCCCAAATAGATGGGCTCTTTTTTATGCCTGGAGATTTGGCTCTGGAGTTTTGAAATATACTTTTTCATTAAATTATATTTATACACAGGGCTGCATCACAGCTGAGCTACTACAAATGTTTTATTATGGTCTGTATTATCTGGACTTTCTTTTTTTATACCTTGATCATTGAAACTTAGCAAATTCAGCAGAAATGCTTTTGTAATTTTATGATTCGTTGCAAATGAAAAAGTGCTTTCAAAAAGGAAAGCTTCTGTAGCATTTTTGGATAGCTATTTTAGGAAGATTTATCCTCTCTGATGTTATTGCAATGTCTTCATTCAAATTAATCCCCCCCCCTCTCTCTGTGTGTATTTGATATAATGGTATATGGAGAAGGTTTTTTTGCTGATCATCATCATCATCGGAGTGCCTAATTTGAGTCTTTTCCTTCCTTTTAATAATCTTTGTAAAATTTAATAAAAACACCAATGTAGAAACAGGAAGCATTGTACTGCTAATTGTGTGAAGAAATCGCATTTCAAATATTTGAGCCTGTGAGTTGACCTTCCAAAATAATCAGATATTTTTGAACATGCCAATATTTGTGAAAGATTTCATCCTGGTGGAGTTATGGTTGGCTTCCAGTTGGCTAAATTATATGAGCAAACCAGAGTCAGACTTTAATATCAGCAGATCAATTCCTTACTCTCTTCCCACAAGCTATGAGCCCCCTGTCCTATTCTTTGGCCATGTAGAGAATCTAATAGAAAGTGAAGGCAGAGACAGTGCACATTGTGGACACAGCAGTCAGATTGATTAGAAAAAGCACCACAATATTACCCTCATTAATCTTATGCTGCTTAAGAACTCTGAAATAGACTTTAATTAGGTTGTTTTTACAGGCCGCTGTTCTTGCTCAGTCTTGAGGCAGTTATTACACATCTTCCCCATTGGAATTTAAAAAGAAAAATGTGGTCCTTAAGAAACTACGGCTGTAAAGTTCAAAATAGAGAAATTGCTTTGTGATTTAAGAAGTGTTTCATGAAGAGAGTTATTTCTTATCGAACATTTTCTGGTCTTAATGCCTAAAGCAACAGGTCTCATTTTAAGAATGGAGGAAGGATCCTTCTGAATTAGAGCAAAAGCCATCTCGGTATCCTATTTCCCATGGAGGAGGATAAGAAAAATTTTGCTTGTGAGAATCCCACAGCAAAGACATGACAATAGTAGCAGAGGTGGTGTTCAGCAGGTTCTGACCAGTTCTAAAGAACCGGTAGCGGAAATTTTGAGTAGTTTGGAATACCACCTCTGACTGTCCCCACCCCCATCTATTGCCTGCCTCCTGAGTCCCAGCTGATCAGCTGGGTCTTCTTTTGTTGCCCTGCACAGGAGAACAGAGCTGGAAAGCAGGTTAGTGGGGTGGGGAGGGAATGGGGATTTTACAGTATCCTTCCCCTGCCACGCCCACCAAGTCACACCCACAAAACCAGTAGTAAATTTTTTTGAATCCCACCACTGAATAGTAGTATCTCCTATTTGACCTGTAAGAACTGGTCAGGGGCATCTACAAAAAGCTTAAATTTCTTCAAAATGACCGGATGCGCCCTATGATGTCACATTGCAAGTTCAGCCCCTTTATGTAGATACATGCTATGAGCAGTCCATCACCTTTCCCCCTTTTTCACTCTGCCATGATCAGTTATGCAACTGTCATTGACAGATACCCTTAGTCCTCAATCTACAAGAGTTCGTTTAGTGAGGGTTCAAAGCAACAGCACTGAAAAAAGCGACTTCTGGTCGTTTTCCACATGATCTTTGAAGACGCATCATGATCATGTGATCAAAATCCAGATGCTTGGCAACTGGTTTATACTTATGACCTTTGCTGTGTCCCAGGCGTCATGTGATCCCCTTTTGCGACCTTCGGACAAGCAAAGTCAATGGGGAAGCCAGATTCACTTAACAGCTGTGTTACTAACTTAGCAACCGTAGCGATTCACCTAACAACCGTGGCAAGAAAGGTTGTAAAATGGGGCCAAGCGAAACCTAACAAATGTCTCACTTAACAATATAAATTTTGGGTTCAATTGTGCTCGTCAGTGGAGGAGTACCTGTAAATTTCTGACCTTGATTTTTTTTTTTTCATTCAACCTCTCTGGCTTGTTCTGGAAACTGTATCAGTTCTTAATTGCTTTTCTTTTGGCTGTCATAGGCTTCTAGTCCTCTAAGGCAGCATGAAGAGGGAAAACAATGCAGATTTCAAACAGGTGTGCCAGGATCAGCAAACAAAACTGCTGATCTTGCTGAATTACTCTCTCTTCAGCCTTGCCCCTGTTTCTTAGGAGGCTGACAATGATTAAAGAGAAACAAAGAGGGAGAAAAAGGATGGGCAGTCATCTAGAGTGCTAACCTGTGGTGGTATTCAATTTTTTTTCACTGCTGGTTCTGTTGGCATGGCTTGGTGTGGCTTGGTGGATATGGCAGGGGAAGGATACTGCAAAATCCCCATTCCCTCCCCACCCCACTAACCTGCTTTCCATCTCCGTTCTCCTGTGCAGGGCAACAAAAGAAGACCCAGCCAATCAGCTGGGACTCGGGAGGCAGAGAATTGATGGGGGCACAGCCAACCAGACGTGGTATTTACCGGTTCTCCAAACTACTCAAAATTTCTGCTACCTATTCTCTAGAACCTGTCAGAACTAGCTGAATACCACCTCTGGTGCTAACTTTTATACAGGCTAGGGCTAGCGTATATAATAGGCCACAGTACTTAAATGGAAAGCCCAAATAGTAGAAAAATAACTTTTGCTAGAGTGTTTCATCATCAAAGTGTTTCTCCTTTAGCGTGTCTTCTATTGATGGCTCTTAATATACACATTCCTTTTACACATATTTCATTGCTTTAGATATTTAGGCATTTGTGAATTTCTGAGACTTAAAAAAAAACCCTTTGCCATGCTTTGCTAACTTAGTTTATATTTGGAAGGTGGGTAATTGTGGCCTCGTCTCACCTGAGAGGGAATCTCATTTCCTTTTGAACTGACATTCTAGCTTGGCTGCCATCCCACCTGAATTACCACAGTGTAGCTTAAGCTCAGTGTCAATTTTTATAGTGGTAGCTGCTGCTAATAAATAGTTTACTACTTACTGTCTGGATAATATATTAGCTGTCTTACAGCCTCTGCTTGTGGGTGTAGAATTGCCATGATCGTTAATTATTTGGTTTTGGGTAATGCTATTTTTCATCTCCTGATTATTCTTCTTTGGCAAGAATCCACAGATTCCTCATTAGTATAAATTTCAGACTCATTCCTATGAGCTTCTTCTTCCTTTTCACGCTGTATTGTTCATATGCCAATTAACAAGGATTCTGTTTTATATATATATATGCAGAGAAGCACATATGTACAAGGGGCCTAGGATAAAATACTGGATGCCATTAAATGTAGCAGAGAAAGAGGTGGAAGGGTTGAGTTAATAGACCACAATCCTGAAGCAGATCTTCTTGACAGAATCTTATTAAAATTGATGGGCATTGCTGAAGTAGCTATAAGAGCAGTGTAAGGCCACATTAAGGCACACCTTTATTTATTTTGATAAGTTATGTCTAGCATATTTTCTAAAATAGTTGTGCCATAGTGACACAGATATATTTAGCAGGAAGGCTAGCAAGTTGTCATTTAGATTTTCTTCATTGGATGGCATGAGTGACTCTATATAAGGGCAGGATACGATCAGTTGACTTTCTTTGGGGGCATATGCTTCCAATGTATACAATGAAAGAAGCTGCGCCAGAAGCATTGAGCGAGATGGGTGGTTCAAAAACATGTGAAAAATAAATGAATTGATTCTGACTTTGCCTGGGTAACGATTTTATTCTGCAAAAATGCATTTTGTTAGACTATAAGGACCCCTTTTTGACCCCAATCTTGCTCTTCCTCTTCATATATTTTTCTCAGATGTACTTGAGTTGAGACATAGAATTGAAAAAGACAATTAGTAACTATTCCCACACTGCAAGTTGGATGCTAAAACAAGAATGGCAAAAGAGAGCAAGATAACCTTATACATGGAGAAGTGGGATAAGGAATCAGTGAAAGGGAAAGATTGAGATCCACGTGGTGATGCTGTATTAAAGAGGAAAGATGCCAACAGAGAGGAAAACTATTCTAGATTTTTCTCCAACAGTTCTCTTCCATTTGAATGGGTTCCACTTGAACTTGTCTCTGATGAAAACTGTGGGATAGATAGATAGAGACTGCACAAATAAATAAATAAAGAATAAAGAATTCTATGAATGTTCTGAGAAGATCTTGTGAGACCTGCTTCTCTTCTGCTTTCCTCTTCCTTCCACCTGGGTTCTTTTTTCCCTCCCCTGATGCTGAGCATTATGTTCGCTTATCAAATTTCAGAAACTCAACTTGTAAGTTGAAGATTTGACGATCTTCTAGTAGGAAAAAAAAACCTCCAATTATCTGACTTCACATAGTCCTTTGTTCAGCTGTAATTTAAAAAAAAAACCAGCAAAAGGGAAGAGGAAAGAACATCTGTCAAGTTTTCAAGATTCTGTTGTTGACTTTCTGATCATAGAATACCAACAATTCTTGTGGTGGCCTCTTTTCTGATCTGGTCTACTTTGAAAGGCTGATGTAAATTCTTCACAACTCAGAATGAACATGACATTTAATTTTAGATGTTGAGTGCTGGTCTGCATCTCACCTTGGACATAAAACTGACCTTTGGAATCACCTGTTCTGTGGCTAAGACATTGCTGATTTTAGCCATTTTAGCAGTAAACTGGAAAGAGGTAGTAGGCAAACCCTGATCTTTACAATAAGATGGGATGACTATCAGCCATTGAAAGTGGTAGGTAGGAAGATGAGATACCATAGCATAAAGATTATCTCATTTATGTATTGTCAGGCTGGAGATGACGGGACCTCACTATATTTCCAATGAAACATCCCAACATACCTTATTATCTCATTCTGATTATACTTGGGAATATGAATATTATGAATATGGCCCAGTTTCCTTTGAAGACCTCAAGGCTCACAAATGTAAGTCTCATCTGGCTGCTTTCTATGTCCAAATCCTCTTTTTCTCCTTCTCAATTATATATTTTAAGATGTATATTTTGAAATCAGTTCTCCCCTCCCTCTCCACTACAGATTCCATCGTGATTGGATTTTGGGTCGGCCTTGCTGTCTTTGTTATTTTTATGTTCTTCGTGCTGACCTGGCTGACCAAGACTGGAGTACCACACCAAGAGTAAGTCCTGCAGCTGGCACTGAAGAATCATCATCTCTTTTAGCTGACCGTTTTTTAGCAAATGACTCGGACCAAACAGCCAACTTGAATGGCTATTTAAGAAGAGTTCCAAAAAGTATATTGCTAATACCAGAAACACTATGTGCTCACAATTAAATTTAAATATTTCATAACAAATGTATGCACTTTGTTCTACACGAGAATATAAATGTTGCCCTCGGTTATTAGAATTTATTGAAACACATTACTGGTGTTGGCACAGCTGAGCAAGAGAGACACTTTTCACTCAGAACACAAATCATTGCAAAGTGATAACGTTTGAGAAATACTATCCATTTTCAGTGCCCAGGTAGTCCTTACTTACCAACTGCAATTGGGGCCTGGAACCCGGTCACTAAGCAGTGCGGTTGTAAGGCACATCACGTTGATGAATGCCGACTTATAGTAGGAGTTCCAGCCGTCTCAGTTGTCATCACTGGGCAAATCCTGAGCAGTCAATAGCATTGTGTAGCCTTGATTGCCATCTGCAATTTCTTGCTGGCTTCCCCATTGACTTTGTCAAAAGTCAACAAGGAAAGCAAAAAATGGTGATCGTGTGATTGCAGGGGCCCTGCAACAGCCACAACTGTGAAGACCTGGGATAAGTATTTCTCATTCAGCATCATCAGAACTTTGAACGCTCACTGAATGAGCGCATGTGAAATGAGAACTACTGTTTAAAATAGGACGTGTTTAAGTTCATCCTCAACCATGGACATTTAGTGACATTCTGGGCCAATCCCTTCATCTTAGCAGATCCTACCTCATAGGATTGTTGGGGTGGGGGGAATGAAGGGAATGTGACATCGCCGCCACGAGCTCCTGAAAGAATGGCAGTGAATAATTCCAATTAATTAACATTAATAAATCTGTTTTGGCATCTCCTGTTTCGCGGTGTGCACAAAAATGACACTGTACTAAATTTATTATCCATCATTCGTCTCTCCTTGTTTCACAGGCGCATAAACTCTTCCGAGAAAAAACTCCGCACAAACAGCTTTGTAGCTGACTTTGGGCAACCCCTGGATTCCGAGCGAATTTTTTCTCAGCAGCTGTTTCTCCATTGCTACATCAATGAACTTGAGGACACAGATAGAACCAAGCAGTGTCACAAGGTGCCAGTTATGGACACTAGCATCCACTTCCAAGAAGTAATCGAGAACAGTGGACGACTGGAAGAGGAGCCGAACTGCCATACGAAATTCAACATTCCTAACTTTGTGAATTACGATTCTCTGGGAGAAGATGACTTGTTAATTTCTGAGCCGTCTATCATTTTGGAGAACAAACCAGTGAGTCAAGTCACTTGCCAGATTCTTGACTAAAGAAACTTGAGCAAAATGTCTAAGCTTGCAGCTGGTAGCACCCCTCTCTTTGGATGGCCATTAAAAGAGGAATAGCCTTTTTTCTTGCATTCCCATCCCATCCCATCTTACCTTTACGGGTTTCAGGATTTTGGCTACTGAAACATGCATGACATGGGATTGGTTTTGGAATGCATTTTCCATTGCTTCTTAAGGTCCCATGTTTTTACATTTACACCTTTTGTTCTTTAGAACAGGGGTCCCCAAACCCTGGGCAGTGGCCCATTACCGGGCTGCAGCCTGTTCAGAACTGGGCCATGGAAGTCATGTGAGAGCTTGCACATGCAGCTCTATTGTGCCAAACCATCCCCTCTCCGCCCCTCCTCCGCAACGGTCCTCAAAGCTGGAAAGGTTGGGGCCCACTGCTTTAGAAAAATAAGTTTGAATTTAAACGCTATACAAACAAAAGCATTTTATCAACTTCTATGGAGTCTTGAAATTCCACCATTTTCTTAGAACCTATGTGCTGAATTTAAACAGGCTAATGTCAAGGTAGGAAAAAATCTAATGTCAAAGAAATTGGGTGGGGTCGTATTCTGAAATAAATCACCTCATCATTACCGATTTAAGCCCTGTGTTAAATGCTTGCATTCACTCTTCTGCACTGATGCAGGTAATGTTGCAGCAAAGTAGCATTTATTAAGTACTGTGATGTAATGCGATCAAATGTCTTTATGAAATCTGGTTTTCAATGTCTTAAGAGTCATATCCTACTTTGTAGGAATAGATGGATGTCTGTTACTGTGCTTATCACCCATTATACTGTACCAGATAGTCCCAACAAGAGTGAAACTAAGAGCAATAAAGCAAAGATTGTACTTATTCCGGAATACAGCTTTTGCCTTTTTATTAAAAAAAATAAGAAACATTCTAGATGCATAATTAGAACTTACAGCAGGGCTGTCAAACTCCATTTTATTGAGGGCTGCATCAGGATTGTGTTTAACCTTGGCGGGTCTATGGGGGCATGGCCAGCTCGATGTCAGTCATCAAGGCTCCATTTTTGGTTACAATGGCCTCCTGCAGCCCCCTGCCAGTGGAGGGGGCTCCATTTTTGCTGGCAGAGGCAGCGCGGGCCGGTTCTTTGTTGGCCCGTGGGGCAGCCCCACAGGTCAGATCTAAGCACCCCATGGGCTGGATCTGGCGCCCGGGCCTTGAGTTTGATACCCCTTACTTACAGATGTATAACATTTCTCTGATAGCTTCTAAATTGCATTGCATTTAGCAATTCCTAAAACACCGAGGGCACCTCTGTTCACTTCTGTTAATTACATTAAGTCAATGCTTTAGCTAGGATACTGGGAGAGTTGAACAAACCTTTCCCCCCCAGTTTATCCCCAACAGTCTGGTTCCATTCTAGGTGATGTCTCTCCTCCAACTGGTCACGCTATGGGGTTGTCAGTCAACTCCTTCCAATATGTTGCTGGTCACTATTCTGGGGATTCTGCATTGGTAAAGAAGTTACATATAAGCTTGAGCCCCATTGTGTTTTGTGAGTCAGTTCTCAGACTTACATGGGTTTCTTCGACATCATTGGTAAGTAGTACTATGAAAAATTGATTCTTTCTTTAACCCTACTGCCAGAGTGGTGTTATGTTCTTTTTTAAACCATTCCCTGGGAGACAAGTGAAACAGTGATTATTTCCTTGCATGTTTGCTTGTTCTTCCCATCCTTTTGGAGATGGAGTGGCTTGTTGCTTGAAGTGGCCTGGCATTCAATTGGCTAAATCATCTGCAGCAAAACCCTTGAGGTATGTCTCAGGCTCACGGTGGTCTTTGGAGCCCGACACTGACAGTTGCCCTTTGGCATGCCGCCCAGACGCCCCCTCACTCGCCAGCCAGCCGCCTACCTCTTCAATTTGTGTGTGTGCACACAGCAGCTGGGAGGGCATGCTCATCCGGTGTCCCGCGTGTCTATTCTGGCCTGGAAAACGCGAAGGCAGCCAACGCTGTTTGAGCACTTTGCCGTGCCTGTGCAGAGCTGCTTGGAAGAGTTCTCAGCTGTTTGACAGCCATCAGCTGTTTTAGTCACAGAGAGGTTTGGGATCGGAGTGATACAAAGACAGGTGATAGCGTGGGGTTGATCTGTCATCTGCAATATTGTGACAGTAAGGTTTCTGATGGTATTGGGTGGTGTAGGTAGTGGGTTTTGTTTAGGCATAAGTAGGTGCGGGGCAGAGGAGCGTGTGGAGACAGGCAGATGTAAGTTAGAAGGGTGGGATTGCCAATCAGCTATATTAAGTGCTGAGAGGCAGTAGCTCTCGGTGCTAGCTTTACTTGGAATTGCTCCAGTGTTGCCTTTGGGAACTATTTTAAGACTGACTGAAGAAATAAACCTTGATTAGTACAATCCTTAATTGTGAATACCATGATTTTTCAGTGCAAATCCTCAAGTACCCAGAGAGGCTGACAGTATGTCTATTATTAACTGCTCCTTCCAGAGCTCCATTGGTGAAAATAAATGGTTGAGGCATACAATGATCTAAAAGCAAGGAAATGGGAGGGTCAGAAGGCAAGGGGAGTGACTGATGATGGTGGGAATGGGAGTGGGAGGCAAGGGTCCTCTGTGGTGTTTAATGTCAGGTGTGAAAAACCAAGTCCATACATGAAGGCTCAAATGAACGGATTAATTGCTAAAAACGTATACACAGGTAACTTCTCAAAAAAAGATGAATTTCCTTTATCAACATCGTCTGGCCCTATTTCAGTCCTAATATAATTCCTTTCTCATTTAATGAGAATGCTGCTTGGGGTTAGCCTTACCCAGAATCTTTCCATGAATCTCTCCCCTTCCCTTATGTTACTCCATCTCTCTTGCCAATGGACTAAGGGGGTGGGAGCTGAATTCTTCTTTCTTAAAGAAAGTGGCCATTTCCTCCCTGAAGGCTTCCATCTATCTCTTCTCCTCTACCATTGGAGGCAATGGGGAGGGTTGTTTTTCTCTAAGAGGGAGATCCCAGATTGCAGGATGGGCAGGGATGGGGCTTTCTTGTAAAGGAACGTGGAAAAGAAAAGGAAAGCAGGCTCAGCCTTGTTTATTCGCTTGAAGAAAAATCACCTGACAGCCAAGACTGACAATGCTGTCATTAAAGTAAGGAAGGAGCTATGAAACATCAGCATAATCAACGTGGGAATGAACGGTAAATGGAAAATGTATCAGGAGAGCAGGTATAAAGAAAGCTGATGTTTTCTCATTGAGAAACATAGCCAACACAACAGTTTTCAAATATTTTATAAAAGCCAAATAAGTTTCTAGAATATTTTATGTATTACTCTTATGCCCAGAATGCAATACATAGTATATTTATATGTTATTAACAATCTTAAAACTGCATTAACAGTGGGATACAATCGAGATCAAGTGAGGTACTAATACCACTCTATAAAGCCTTACTAAGGCCACACCTGGAGTACTGCATCCAGTTTTGTTCACCACATTATAAAAAAGATGTTGAGACGCTAGAAAAAGTACAGAGAAGAGCAACAAAGATGAATAGGGGACTGGAGGCTAAAACATATGAAGAACGGTTACAGGAACTGGGCATGGCTAGTCTAGTGAAGAGAAGGACCAGGGGAGACATGATAGCGGCCTTCCAATATCTGAGGGGCTGCCACAGAGAGAAGGAGGGGGGTCAAGCTATTTCTAAGGCCAGACAAGGAATAATGGATGGAAACTGAACAAGGAGAGATTTAACCTGGAAATAAGGAGAAACTTTCTGCCAGTGAGAACAATCAACCAATGGAACAGCTTGCCCTTGGAAGTTGTGGAAGCGCCATCACTTGAGACTTTCAAGAAGAGATTGGACTGCCATTTGTCAGAAATGGTGTAGGGTCTCCCACTTGGGCAGGGGGTTGGGCTATATGATCTATAAGGTCCCTTCCAACTCTGATGATCTGTTATCTGCTTAGCCCTATTCAGTAGATTATGACTGCAATAATTGTTTCTACCTTGGAGCTGTATTACATAATCTTACACAGTGGGCCTTTGTCCATAAATGTCTTAAGGTCATGCAATTAAAAAGAGGAAATATTATTCTATTTTTCCTCCACATCCACTCAGAATACCACAACAAAGTGTTTTAACTGGGCAGTAGATTAGACCACAATCAGTTAATCCACCTGTGATATTGGGCATTTCGCTATATGGGAAAAGAATCCAATTAGAAATTACAAAACTCAGTATGTTTTTTTTACTAAATATTTTCACAAATAAAAATGATGCCTCAGATATTTTACTGCAATTGTTGGAAATAAGTATCATTTTTTTGCTGACTAAAATAAAAAAGCAAGACTTTTAAAAAGAACCATTATGATCTGTCCCTATGGTTACCAGTGCCTCATCTCCAATTGCTGTATCATCCAAGCTTCTCAGAATTTTTGTAAGGTAAAAAAAACAACTGGTAATGTTTACAAAAATCTAATCACATGTACTAAAATGTGTAGTAAAATGCATTTATTTTAAAATATGAAAAATTTTAAAGGATAAAAAAAATCAGATTTAAATTCTAAATTCAACTCCATTTTTAGTAGACCGAGTCAAAAGCCAGTGACCTTTACAGAATTTCAGCTTATTTCTAATTTTATTAGATCTGTCAGTCTCTCATTAACTCAGATATTCAAATTTTCCAATAATTTTCTGGCATATTTGAACTGCTTGATGTAATAACAACACCTTGTTTCTGCAACTGCCGTAGAACATCTAACATTGAATCTAGTTCAATGCGGAATTTTTCCAGTTCTTGATTCTTCAACAGAGCAAGTGTCTTCCATTTCTCGATTTCCCGAAACTGTTCAACTTCTGCATTGTATCGTGTTTGTTGTATTACCTGTACAGTATGAGAATAGTTATTGCAAAACATATGCTCATCAATTTCTCCAAGTCTGTTTTGTTCTTAGAGCATTTACAGCAGCGATTACAATAAAGTTTAATTTAAAAAGTTCTTGCGCTAAGGGTTATGCCT